TTCGTTGAGAGAGATGCCTAGAAAGACTGCTTATTGGCCTGGCTAGCTCAGGTTGTGGACTATTCTTGTGTACCTGCTGTGGATTTTACAACTCTGTTTGGACAATAAACTGTTGAACTGTTCCAACGCTGGTCTCAGTCTGTGCTGTTCTTGGGTCCAACCTCACGCCCATTACACCATCAGTACAATATTAATGCACGTAAGGAACTGCACACACAAATCTGAACATGTTTTCCCAATTAAGTACATTATAAAACATTGTATGAAAACACTACATAAATCTGAACTGTATTTCCTGCTGTACAATTTAAGTGGCTTTACATTTAAGTGTCTCTTCTGTGTTTGTTCATCTCCTAATAATTGATTGTTTCTGTAACCTCATCTTGTCAACACATTAAATCAGTTTGCCTTCATATGAACATAACAAGTTGATTTGTACATGTAAGTGTACACTCTCATAACCTCACTGTAGTTTGTTTTACGTTGTTGGTTTTTCCCCTTACTATGTAAGCAACTCTCCAGAAAATCCTTGTATGTGCACATGTTTATTTAACAATAAAACATATTCTGTTTCAATGGGGCTCAAGTTAGAATTTCTCAAAAGCAGAAATTATGTGGAATTTTAGGTCGGGGCCCGTCTGGTTTTTGGTGTAGGTCGGGTAAATCCTCTGAGACCTGAAGTTGGAAAAGAAGGGGGCCTCTGCGCTGGTACTTTTCCTCTCATCAGCACAATGTGGGTACTTGGAATAAGAAAGAGCACGCCTACTTTGCCAGCTTTACCCCATAAAAGGATGAGAGAGGAGAAAGCCTTGATCACCCCCCCCTCCAGATTGACACAATGGGGGCTACAAGAGGTGGAGGGGGGCCCATCATAAATACACATGCATGCATTCTTCACCCCCCATCCTCAAAGGCACGCATAAACACACACTGAAGTGACCTTATGTCCTGTTTGTTTCCACAAGAACACCTGCAGAGTGTGCAGGAACTCTTAAAGAAGTAATCAAAAACAGGCAGCTACACCTCCGGATTACTTAAACACATTCTGTAACAAGCACTAGCCTGCCACCCACTGCAGCTTACCAAATTAATATGCTAAGCAGCACACAGACAGCCCGCTCCTGTCGCTCCCCTCCTCTCACTGTCCCAACACACATTCACAGAACAATTCCACACAAAGAAAAATAAAAAGAGCAACGATGGCTTCTCGGAAGCCCTGTTGAGAAATAGGAGTAAAAAGAGGCAGAGGCAGAGTATGAAAGAGTGAAAAGGGAGGGAGAGGCACTGAGGGGAGAAAGGGAGGGGGTGTTGAGACGGAGGAGGAGGAGAAGGAGAGTCTGAGGGAAACAACTTAAGACGGTGAGAACAGAAGACGTTAGTGAGTACACGGTGAGAGCAGACACAGAGAGAGAAAGAGAGACTAAAGACCTGGAATATTCCTCACCAACAAACAGGTACAGTAAACCATTTCTAACACTTTACTTTTAAGTCACTTTTATCACCATGGTGACAAGTGTGCTGACCAGATGAAAAACACTGAAATGGTTTGGTGTTTATTCTTAGAGATGCAGTCATCAGGAGTATTTATGGCCATGATAAAACATCTTCTAGTATTAGAGTTACTTTAAAGTGAAAGAGTGTAAAGTGAAAATTCATCTGTGCTTTGATTCAGTGTTGTGTTCCCACAGAACTTGTCTGGCTTGTTGCCAGGAGAAAATGGAAGTGCTGATGGGGTCACCCCAATAGTTGTGGTTTTGTCTTCCAGGACTCAGCATTTATTTATCTAAAGCTGTTTACATGATGGAAACTAGAACATCGCGAAACCTTGATTATACACAGAGCTGTTTCCGAGCCGTAAACTTTGGTAAAATAGCATAGTCAACAAGCCAAAGAGATTCGTCTTACCACTCTCAACAAACTTTTCTTGTCTTGTATGAAAAGGCAGAAATTAATTTTTTTTTGTTAATTAAATCATTAAATCACTCCCTTTCTCTTATTCTTGGAACCACTGTGCATCTTTTTTTGCCAGGCTTTTGTCTGGTATTATAACCAAGTTCTTGTATTTTGGTTTCTGTTTTGACGCAGTGACTGACCACTATTACAATAACTTCTTGATTTCAGTTCCTTTATTCTTTATTTATACTTTAAATTACTTATTATAACCTCTATGTGTACTTTTAATATACACGGTCAAATGAGAAACAACGACCAGTGAAGATTTTCTCTCTTTGACTGAATGGATAAACATACAGTGTTAGTGATCTATTTATGGCTGTATTATTGGCTGTACTGTTTTTGTCATCATTTGTCATTTCTGTCCGTAGAGATGACGTCACTTTGCTGGAACCTGGCTGCGCTTCTCCTTTTTCTGAGTGCCTCGCCTCTCCTCAACTCCCACCATTTCACCTACGCTGCCTCTACTTCCCCTCCCATCACTCATCCACAGATCAAATTCATCACCGGCTTGGGCTCAGATAAGAACTATGAAGATGACTACCCTGATGAGGAACACCCTCCTGAAGTGCCGTCCTCCGTGAGAACTCCCTTTCTCCACGCAACACCGCAGCTCTGCCAATACGACTCCTGCTCAGAGAATCAGGAGCCCTGTGCTGATCTTGTCAGAAAGACTGGGTGCCTTTGTCCCGGGATCAGTGGGGCTGATGTGCCTCCTCATGCACCACGCATCCAAGCACTGCTGCCAATCAGTAAAGGGGATGACAGAGGAAAGGTAGAGGTCCAGTGGTGTGCTCCATCTTCTGTGGTGTCTAGATACAGGGTGGTGATTCAGGTAAGTGAAGGAGATGTCCTGGAGTTTGGGGACGTTTCGCGCAGGGGTTTGGTTGGATCTTTGGAAGCTGGGACCAAGGTGTGTGTGGAGGCGGTGAACAAGGCAGGACACAGCATCCCCTCAGACTTCTCCTGCATGCGGTATGACCCTCCTGCATCTTCTGACCATGAACTGTTAATTGGGGTCATTGCAGGAGGAGTCGCCTTTCTGTTACTTCTCATCATAGCAGCCGTGATCCTCTGGAAGTATCAAATGCATCAGAAGGCAAAGAGAGACTCCACTGATGGACTGGGCAACCCGTCTTACAGCACAGAGGGAACACTGTGATCCAGACTAGTTCAGCACCGACAATCCATCCCGTTCACACTGAACAGGCCTCCCCGAGACAGGGGGCACCGTCACAGCGTAATCACGAACAAAAGCCAAATCGTTCCGGGGTGGTGTCGTGATTGATTGTAGAATTAAGAAATTGTATACAGTCCTGTTTCAAGGAATATGTAAATATACTGGGGAGTAGTGTTCATGTAATAACACTAACAAATGGGTAATTCTTTACCTTTATTTTGAGGTTAGAACTACAAGTTTATTTGCTGGCAAATTAACCCTTGTAGGTTTATTGTTATTATTATGGGTTTATTGTAGTGTTTTTATATATCTTGTTTTATCATGGCTGAATTTGATTTTAAATATTGTTGATTTTTAGGATGTATTGACTGAAACTTTTGTAATAAACTAAATCTTATTTTAATCAAAAACTGTCTGAAAATGTCTTAGTTGAGGTTTTGCACAGGGCTACATGTTGTAAGTGGTGCAAGGGTGACAAGTTAATGAAGATAATGTGCCTGAGTAATATGCTGGGCCACCACAAGCCACAAGAACAGATTTAATGGGCTTTGGTAACACGTCTCTGAAACTTTACTGGAAGTGTTGAACAACACAAAATTAGAATTAAAATTATCTCCACTTCGACCAGCTACAATAATAAAATTAATTTAATTTAATCAGTTAATGCACCAATAAAAATAAATAATTGTAATGATGTATTTTTTCACACTCTGGAAAATGCTCATCCTAAATGGTACGGGAGTAGTTTTAGTTTTAATACTTTTATATTTTACTGGCATACCTTTTATATTTGTGGCTGAATTTTGAAGGCTGGAAATTTATCGGTAACAGAATATTTCTTTACATCGTGCTATGATCCCTCCTTCACTTAACGACCTGCAACTTCAAAGTCTCACACTTTTATTTTGAAAGTCTTGGGAAGTTGATTTTATTGGCTAGCGACTGTCCCAAGTCCCGCCTTCTCTTGGCGTTTGAGCCAATCATTGTCACTAAACAATATGAGGAAGAAGGTGTATTGTTGTTTTTAACGTGAGGAGGACTCACCATTCATAATAACAGCTTCATACAACCAGGATGGCGAGCACAGGTGAGTCTCCGTTTCTCTCCACTCATTGACATCATTTATAATAACTGCTGCCTATATGAACTTTAATGAATGACAGGGAACATCCCTAACGTTGGTGGAGAAACCTCCCGCTAAATAACTAGCTGACACTTGTTTACAGTCCATAAATAGTAGTAAACAACTATCGCAGGTAAAGTTTGGTTAACGCCGGACTGCTTTAACGGTGGGACCCGAGTTGTTGCGTTAGTTAGATTTCTACCAACTAATAAATCTAAAATGAGGAAATAATACTGTAATATTATTACATTTTTATATTCATAGAATGACTCAGCATAAAAGTCTTCATAAGGTTAAACCGGAAGCTACTTGTATCCATAGGGAATGTCAAGCAACACCCAGTCCATGGCAACAACCAACAAACCAGGATAATGATTTGCATACCAAAACCTGTTACATCAAAGGAGAGTGGGGGAGGTTGTACCTTTAATCCTAATCTTCAAACACACACACACACACACACACACACACACACTTTAATTATTATAAAAAGTATGAGTGCCAACAGGAGGGAGCGGTCTTCAGGAGAGCAATGTACCCTGAAGGTGATTCGCTCTCCTGATAGTTCTTCACATACCTCGTCACAGGTACTGATCTGATACCAGTGCTTTCTGTCTTTTACCCACATTTAAAATCTGTACAGCTCACTGTGTGGAGCTTATTGGGGTCATTTCTATGTAAGGTTACAGCTGAGTCAGCAGCCCAGTGTGACTGACTGGATTTAGCTCATTGCACTGAAACACTGAACTTTATAACACTGACAAATAAACTGTATTTAATGTGGATGGTGTCACATAATGGGTGCCCATATCGGTTGGTACATCCCTATTAATCAGGCTGTTTAACTGTGTGGGGCAGGTGCATACAGCAGGTGTCTTACAGCATTACATATTAGCCATCACACCAACAGAAATTTCTTTTTGTTTGAAAAGGTCATCGGCCTTTGATGGTTAGTAATAAAATCTCATCGGGCTGTTTTATCACTTGAAGCCTAACCTGTGTGAATGATGCAATATAATGGGAGTATTCAACAGTGGCTGATCACACTCTGCAAAGCCGTTAACGTGTTTCTCGTCTCGTTAGTCTCCAAAGAAATCTCCTATGAAGATCTGAAAGCTCTTATGGGAAAGAGCCAGAATCTCCTTCTGGTTGACGTCCGCAGTAAAGAAGAAGTGGATAAAGGACGTATTCCAGGATCTGTTAACATCCCACGTGAGCTTCTTTTTAATTCATTTACAATGAGGGAAAAACAAAATTTTTCTTGTTTCTTCTTCACTGTTACCACTTAGCATGCACATTCACAGGTTGTTGTTCATACTGGATATGAAAAAATGTGCAGTTGTAGATAAGCGTCAGTGGGCTGTAGTCTGGGTTTTCAGGTTCTGAATGTTTAATGTGTTTGTGCATCATCTTTTTTAATCTTAAAACACCTTTCTGCCTTCCTCCCACTCGCTCAGTTGATACAGTAGAAGCAGCTCTTAAAATGGAGCCAGAAGAATTCAAGGCCAAGTACGGAGTAACAAAGCCACCGTTGGATACGCCAGAGCTGGTGTTTCACTGCCAGATAGGCAGGAGAGGGGGAACGGCCACAAACAAAGCCCACGAACTTGGATTCGTCAAGTAAATAACTTATTGGTTACTATACATTATACAGACACCCCATCTGGCTCTTAAACAGACCGAGTCTCACATCGATAGCCCGGACTGTTTTTAAGATTCATCTCATGCCTTAACAACGACTTTGTTTACTGTTTCCTCATAGAAACACTGAACTCTGGCTGTGTATGTGTATCACTTCTTGTTGTTGTTCTGAAATGTTTTCTCTCTGTCTTCTGTTTCAGTGCCCGTAATTATACCGGAGCATACAAGGAGTGGTCTGAGAAAGAGGGAAAGTGATTCTTGTTGAAGGCAAAAGCCTCTTCTATATTTATATTGTTGAATGCCAAACCTTATATATATATATATATTTGTTGAAGGTAAAGCCTCACATATATTTATACAAACAACAATTGTGAAAACTAGACGGACAAAATAGAGAAACATTTTTTTGTGTTTTTGTTTATCTTTTGATACTGTTTTGTTTTCATATGGTGCATTGTATTTAAAATGTATGATTTAATACAAATAAAATAAATTGTTGCCTACTCAGATTTACATGTATTTTTTTCATCTTTCATCATTTCAGACAGCTGAATATCTGCACATGCTGGGAAAAGATAAATGATGTGTTAACATGCAGTCATTTCTGTAAATTTGATGTGGTTTGAAGACATAAAGAGGAAGTTACATTCTACAAAATTACAACATAATACAGATTTAATACAGCTAGTCGTTTACACCATAATGTCTTGAAAGGAGAAGCAACAATAGAAGTAAATGTTTAGAAACATGTATTTGTTTGGCTTAACTTCGGTGTTCATAAATTCCTGTATATTATCCTGCTAATTACATTAATCAAATCAAAGTAATGTCCACACACTTATTATTAATTTAGACTTTAATACTAATACAGATGTTTCTCATCTCACTTGTAAGGTATTACCAGAGATTTCACAGATGTAACATTGCTCGCTGTGATATATATTTATATATATAGGGTGTTTTATATATATATTAGGGTGTGAAAGTGTTAAGTAAATATTATCGATCATCTTCCTGTGAGCTCAGTGGGTCAGGCACGTGCGCAGACCGTGGCGCGCGCACGGCGGTTAAATTGTGCCAATTGATTAAAGATGCTCCGAGAAATACAGCAGGTAAATCAACATTAATGGGGTAAATCAACATTAATGGGGTAAATTAGGACTGTTCTACATAGAAACACAAAGCCTGTACCTGTAAAAGTATCGTTTAATGGGCAGTGCTGTAAGTGTCAATCAAATTGAGGCTGTCAATCAAAGTGTGACGCTAATTAGCATATATGCTAGTTGTAGTTAGCTAAACCTTGAGTGTGTGTCTTACTTCCAGGTGCTGAGGTTGGTGAAGCTTCTGGGAAAGAAAAAACAACAGTGTGGTTCAAAGACTGCAGGGGGGCTTTTGGTTCTTCTGTGGACTGACACAGGAGCTTCTGTTCAGTGTTTAAACTGCACTGGTAAGCCTAATTGTTTCACCCTGTTCTCATAATGTGAGCTGCTTCATCAGGATGAACTTAAACTATTGGACAAAGCTACGTACATTTAACTAGCACTACTTCAAATCGACTATCTGTGAAATGTAGGGGAGTTGTGGGGAATAAAAGGCACAAAAGCAGCAGGATTTAGCAGCAGGAAAAGAGCTTCCAACACTCATCCTTTGGATGAACATTGTTAAGTAAGGATTTCTTTTGATGAAATAGCACTGCTAACGTAGGTATTAATTATCTATATAGAAATAAAACAACATTTCAGGTAAAAAATCTGCAGGATATGGTGAGAACACATGTGAATCAAACACTGAATTTTAAAGAAACCTGACCAAAAAGTGCACAATAAAAAGACATGATATAGGTGATATGTGATATACGAGTACACATTTATCTGGACTGTTGTTAGCTCGGCCCCCCGCGCTGTAAAGACTGTAAGACAGAGAATAAAAGTGACTGTTGCCAGCTGCTGTTAGGATTCCCTATCTAAACAACTTAAAAACAACTGACATAAAGCGCAAAGTGCTGTAACAGTGTTCACATTTGTGGTGCAGTTGCAGCTGCTGGTCCCTGGTGCACAGGGATTAAGATGGCAGCGCTCCAACCGGGTATGTATGTACACACACTTAATGTACACACAGACCTCGAGCTTTTGAACACTACATCACCTCTTTTTGCTACACTAGTTCTGACAGATTTGAAGGAGAGCATGTTTCCCTGCGCGTGGCCGTGTCCTCAGCCTGACCCCGAGGAGCTGTGTGACTTCACTGATCTGTATGGTTCCCTCAGACTCCTCTTGTCGTTTCAGGTACAAATTAAACGGAGCCACTACTAGGATTTTACTTATATTAGAGGATGAGCATTGTCTTTTTTAGGCGCTATAGTAACCTCTTTGTCTGTCTTAATGATAGACGATCGCAGTCGACCTGTGAGTGACACGTCATCTCTTTCAATATCTTTGCTCTGTACAGATGAAAGATGTGAGGCTTTTCAGTCCCGAGTGGTGTTCTCGTGTAGAGGCGCTCCTACACACATTCAGTTTGACTAACGCAAGGGTAGGAGCTGTTCTCCTCTGAAATGTAACCATAGGACTGTTGGTAAAGTTGGTAGCAAAAATGCGACCACCCTTCTTTTTCCGCAGATCAAAATCCACCTCAAATTCAAGTTCAGTCAGCAGACCTTCCAGCGAGAATTTAGGTATGACGGCCAACTACGCAAGCACAGCTCATCGCTTTCTTCTCTTGTAAATCGAGCAAGTTTCCCACCTGCTAGACGACCTCATGAATGACCATTTTTTTACTAAAACTGTGTTTTTTTAGGATTGTTTATTCATTATAGAGTTCACATGCCCCGACGTATTCTGCAGTGATTCATTCATTCATATTTAAGTTATTTAAATGTATAAATGCAAATATTTTCCTCACACGCAAAGACTGCAAAGCATTATTATATAGTTGTATATATATTTATGTTGTTGTATAATATGTCATTTGTATCTGGAGTATGTAACGAATATAATTTCCCTCTGGGATTATTAAAGTATTTCTGAATCTGAATCTGAATTAGATCAGATTTTAACAGTGGCTTGTTATGTTTTTAGCATTTTAAGGTAATAACAAACACAATGCCTCACTGCTCCTGTTAAACCCCCATTGAGCCTGTTTTTATGAAGCGCTAACGTTATATTCATATCCTTGCAGAGGGAAGATCAAGAGTAAAGTTACATGGGCAAACCAACCACCACTGAGCTTGGATGTCACCTCTAGTACACAGTCAGTAATGCTCTTTTTAAATAGTAAATTAATAATGTTTAGCTGTTTGTGTGGATCAGTGTTGTCTTACTTTCAGTTGAAAAATAATAAAACCCAGCAGGTACGGATGTGTAACCGAAATAATTGTATATTCATCCATTAATGAAACAGAAACATGTTGAAAATACCAGGGCATATAAGGTTTATTGTTGAAAGTGGATACTCTCTTCTTGGGTGTGAAGGCCTCCAGAGTGTGTGAAGAAAGGATGCTGGTGTGAGGGAGGACACCCTGTCGTTGGAAGCAGGTTGCCACTCAGTATCCCACCTGAAGCCATGGACCAGGGCCTGTTCGGGGAGCTCAGCATCCAACCTGTCACACTTCTGACCCCCTGTGTGCTGCAGTACCCCAATCTAGCAACACAACTCACTCACATACAAATATCCTTTGCTGATTTTTTTATCACATTTCTGTGTGTGATTTTAATGGACAGAATGTCAAGTGACAGTCGAGTTGTGTCTGTTGTGGTGGCCTCAGGACTGCGTCTGCCTTTTGCAGAGGTCGTGGTTCAGCTGGCTTCGTCAGACTGCGACTTCCAGTGCGCACTGGGGCGGTTTTGCAGCTGTGTGTGAATGAGGGTCAGCAACTCTGAGGCCATGGTAGTCCCTCTGGATTGGAAGAGAATCACTGCTCCAAGTGAAGGAGAATATTGGGGGTCAGCTCGCACAGAACTAGTGTTTAAGACGTCAATTTTCTAGTTGTTCTGAAAGGCTACACCCAAAGGCGCAGTGAAAAGCGGCCTTCATATAGACATGATATTGTTTAAATATGATGATAATGCCACACATTTGCTGTCTCTCCCGAAAGACATTTATAGTGTCGTAGTGCTGGGCCATATACAGGATGAACTATTCTGGTTTTCATTTCCTGTTTGATATGTGGTTTTCGTGTACAACCATACTGGTGCACAGCTGGCTGTAATTCTTTAATAGTTTGCAATATTGTTCTTGCCGCAAAGAGTCTGTAGCCTGTTTTAAGAGGTTAGCCCTCTTAACTACATATAATTGTCATAACTTTAAAACACAACAACTAAGAACCCACAGCTAACTCTCTTTAACAGAGCAACACACCATGGCACACAGCAATAAAACCTTTCTTAAAATGCTTTGAGTATTTTATGTCTGTGTGCCCAATAAAAAATGTTTAGATTCTGATTCCTTCATGTATTGAGGGCCAGGAACACGCTACAATAATCAAAACCTTCAGTATGTACATGATGACATTAAAATGTTTTTATATTCTATGTACTCCTGACAGTAGAATAAGCCACTATAAACCTATATAAAGGCCCAGTCATGCTGCCAGAATCTTAAAAAATATGATACAGTTCTTTGGTCATACCACCCAACACTATTGTTGGTTGTGTTGCTCTCAGATGGAAATAGTTGTGTAACAAAGGGAAAAAGAGAGAGAAAAGTTGGAACCCAGCTTACTTTATTAGCTCATCACAGCTCTGTGCGTAAAGACAAAGCTCTCAGTTTATCCGTCCGCCTGTGTTCCAACCCTCACCTGCGGTCATAAACTTTGGGTAATGACTGAAAAAGAGTGAAATCATGATATAATCAAAATGAGTTTCCTGTGCAGGTTGGCTGCTCTCACAGATAGAGCGAGGAGGGCGATAAGCTCAGGCACACAGTAGAGCCGCTGCTCCTTAGTGTTGCCCTCAGTGGAGGTGGTATGGTCATCTGATTTGGATTAGTCTTCCTTGACTTCACATGTGTCCATGTGTTTGTATGCAGCCCCAGTAATGTTCCTGTCACAGGCCCCTCCACCTTCTTCCAGAACCTCCCTGCACATCTGGACTGTGAGGAACTAGGCCTGCCAGGCCTTCGCTGCTCCTTCTTCAAAGGTAAACAACAACCACTGATGGGAACAACACATACATATGCTCTATATTAGGTCTTTCACCAGAGGAACTATAAGGGGCCAGTTTTCCTGGATTGGGTGTAAATTGAACCTGAAGTCCAGGACAGTTAATCCTGTCTTAAAAAGTGACTTTCTGAAACTCCTGAATGGGATTGCTTTCTGACTGAGTAGAGGACTAAAAGAGGACTAATTTCACCCATCTGTGTTTATTAGTTAGAAAATATGCCCTGGCCTGAAGCTGCTTATAAAAACTTTAATGGATTCCAAAAAGCCTGTAATTTAAATCAGAGGAATAAATCTAAACAGAACAATGGAGCAAGAAAAAAAAAAGAACACACACAGACCACAGTAAAAAAAAGGAGCTTAAAGTGACAGCACTTGCAGAGGAATGGCTCTGGAGCCCAGAGTCACTGTCACTGCATTGTCACTGTCTTCCTGTGAATTACGTTCACATGCAACTAATCTGCACACATGGTCTACATTCATTGTGATGAGATAGTTCTGATGTTGTGCTGCATTCACATAGAAAAACAATTCTCAGAGCTGAGAGTTGGGGTGTGGAAATTGTGACAGAGAGGTTTTTCCATCTGGTCTTACTAGAAATCAGTCGTTTGCATGTGTCCCGTTTAACTGTGATGTTTCTCTGACCATTACTAAATTGCTTAGTTGTCAATATCTAATCATACCTTTATCTTGCCTTAGTTTCCACAAAGGGATTTTAAAGAATAAAACTTTTTGCAGGTATGATCAACATATTAGTGTCTCTTCTAAATATGTGTAAAAAAGACTAATGGAGCGCCGCTCATTGACATTCGTTGTCCCGAAGATGTATTTTTTTAACTGCAAAATGACTGGCATGTGAACAGAATTTGTGAGGAAGCATTTTCTTTGTACCTGATTTCATGAAAATTATTATTTTCTATTGTCAAAGTACTTTACAAGCAGGTGGTTTGTCTTCAGTGAAATTGTCCAAATAATCCTTGTGTGTCCAGCCAACAGTCAGCCTTTCTGAATTCAATTCTGCCTTCTTCAACGTTTAATTTAGTCCTTGATTTAGTCGTGAAGTAACTCAGGTTTTTCTCTCAGGCAGGCAGGTAAGTCAAAAGGCTAAAATGTAGGATTATTCTAAACCATGTGTGAGAGAACTGATTTGAACTGATCTGGTTTAGTGGAAAGAGACTAAACACTTTGTCTGTAACTAAGCTTAGTCATCAGGAAATAATCTGTCTGGCTCAGACAATAGGATACTATATAGGGCAGAAGAGTTAATGCAGTCATACTGTGATAAAATAAAAAGAAACGTCAGATTTCTCAGAGACCGCTCTTGCTTAATAAATTACATTTTTGTGTTGTAGATTACACAACGAACTATAATCGTAAAACCATGAGTCATGAATCACATTCATTCACAATATTAACGAAACAAAATGCCTCATAAGAAAGCCTACTCCAGTCTTCTTGCTGATGGAGAGAAGATCCTCTGTCGTAAACATCAGTGAAGTTTGTGTTACTCTGGTCTGAATGTTTACTTTCAGTCTTTGTAAACATTCGTATAACTCAGTGAACTTAAATCAACTCAGGTTTTAGAACTGAACATTATAAC